GCACCACGCTCGACCCTGTTATTGGGGCAAAAGAGACGAGGTCAAAGCGATGCAAGACTGGAAGCACCTCCGTCACGTAAGCGTAGCCAAACTGTGCCAGAAGAACGAGAATGTCCTTTTCTTTCTGCAGCACGTCCTCCAGAACGGTGGCGTATTCGCCCTTGTTGGCTCGTCTCTCGAAAAGTTCAATACGAACGTCGCCCGCATCCGTGGAGTTGTGCGCCATCAGCGACGCATACACGCCGGCGTAAAAAGCAGTGGGCATAGTAGGCTGTGGCGGAAAAAATTGGCGTCAACATCAAAATCTTCACTGGGGTGTAAGAATCTGCGGCTTGGGTGGCTGCGCTGTGCGGGGCAACGGAAGCAGCAGCAGAAGCAGCAGCACGACAAGGACAAGAAGGCACGGCGACGCCGCAGAGGGTCGCAAGCCAAAGTGCGCACTGTAACCACGCTGCCCCCAAAGCACCGCCATAACTGCTGCCCTGCGATTGTCTTGCTGTATAGCCTGTAAGTTATTGCCGCGGGGAGAGGAAGAGAAAGAGAGAGAGAGGGCACGGTGCACAGGAGAAAGCACCAGCGGGCGCACCTGGCCACAAGTGAGGCCGCCAGCGCACAAAAAAGCGCCGGACGCAAGCGAGACAAAACTCGTAGGCAAATGGACCTCTGCGGAACAGGGCGACGACAGCGCCTGTCCTTCTCCATTGGCCGGTGCCAAGCGGAGCACGCACTGCCACGCGCCGTGCACTGTTCGTCACGGCGGGTCATCAGTGGAGACCAGTGCCTGTGGAGCATATCGCAGAGGACTGCGAGCGTGCACAGCTCCGCCTCCTGTTGTCCTCCATCTCCACACGACCCACGGTCCTGCCTCCCAGTTATTGCTCCGCCACCACCTGGAAGCTCCGGGTTGCTGCGTAGGGTGTGTTCTTCCACATCGGCCTCCTCCCCGTCGTGCGCCTCCGCCCAAACGCGCGCAGAACCGGGCCGATGCATGGCTGCAGGCCAGCCGCGTTGCAGCGCGAGAATTGGCTCACGCCTACCGCAGCGCCGAAGGCCGCACGCTGGGCAGCGGAGGCCGACAATTGGCCTCCCCGTGGAGCCGGGTGCGCCCTCTCGGCGACCGCGCCCTTCACCCTCACGGAAGCGGCGGCAACGGGGCCCCTGTGGGGCAGCGCGCGCCAGCCACCCCCGCGCACCGCGTGCCGCCCCCTCATTCCGCAGAGGGGAGGGGTGAACACCTGTTCTTGTTTTCGATTTTGGGAAGGGGGTTGTCCCGGGAGGTTTGGTCCGCCTCCTTTTGCGGCCCAAGTTTGGCTGCGCGGGGGCGTTGCATCATCGCCGCGCCTGGGCGCCGCGTCTCTCCCGTCGTCGTTTGCGCTCGTCCCGTGCAAAGCGGGGGAATGCCCTCGGCGCCGCCCACCGCCGGGTCACGGCACGCGGGGGCCGTTGAAGTGAAGCCCTGCCATTCGCCTCTTTACTTTTTTTTCGCCTTTGCCCCGACGCCGCGCCCGCGTGCGGGGAGGACTCCCTTCTCCGCCAAAAGCCCGCGCCCGCAGCACCCGCGCTGAAGCGGCGTGTCCTCCGCCGGTTTCCCGTCCCAGCAGGGCTTTTTCTTGGGGGCGCGGGCTCCCCCCGCGCTCGGAGGGCTCCGGGAAATGGCTCCGGAGTGGGGCGCAGCCGCCGACACGAGCCCGCGGCGAAGTTAGGAGCTGCCGGCGGCTCAGGCTCGCCGGGGAACTTGGCTCCCCGCGGAGCCCGCGAGCGAACCAAAGCGGGTCCCCAGTACAACCGCGGGGCAAGCGCCTCCTCGGAGAAAGCCGCCCAGCCAGTAGGGTGTCGCGCTTCTCCCTGATTCCCGCCGCAATGGCGGGCGTCGCCACGGGAGAGGAGGGGATCGCTCCGGACCCCCCACGCACACACACCCTCCAAGCCGCGGCGGGCGCGCAGGCGCCGCCGCCAGGATGAGGTCCGGGCGAGTATTCCCCCGCGCGCAGCACATGCAACCCCGCGCACACGAAGCGCCGCAACGTCCCCCCACTTTACCGCTCCGACAAGCCTCGGCACGGGACGCAGGGCCACGCACCCAAGAAGCTGAGCGCGGCGGGCCTGTCCCGGTTCCACGCAGGGGTGCCCGTTGGCACGGCCGCACGACCGGTGCGCAGCCCACCGTGTCATGCAATCAAAAACGTCAGAGCCGGCTTCTCCGTGCGCATCGCTCAGGGAACCAAAAC